CTGGCTTTGGAGTTTCTTGCTCTATAGTAACTTGCAGGATTCATAGACCCAGCTACGCGAGCAGCGTGGAATCCCTGTCTGAATCTGGAAGCCTGTTAGGAACATAGCTCCTACCCAGGTCCCTGTGTCTCCCATCTCCTTTCGCAAGCATAGAGGAGGTGAAGCTCAGGCCTCTGTGGTCCTCCACCACTGTCTCCCAGGGAGCATTCACTGCCAGCGCCTGACACTGTCAGGTGTAGCACTTTTGTGTATATCTTTTTATTCCTGCTGAGAGCTAGAATGTTTGGTTTGAATCCTACAGATTTGCAGAACTTTAGGCCAGAGAGGGTATCAAGTTCCCTGAGACTGGAATTACAGTCAGTTTGGAGTCCTCATGTGGGTGCTGGGAACTGAACCCCTGTCCTCTGGAAGAGCAGTCAATGCTCTTAAACGCTGAGTCATTTCTCCAGCCCCTTTATTCTGATTTTGAAAAATTGTCTGACTGGGCAGTGGTGGCGCACACCTTTAATCCCAGTACTTGGGAGGCAGAGACAGGCAGATCTGTGAGTTCAAGGCCTGCTTGGTCTACAAAATGAGTTCCAGGGCAGCAAGAGCTACACAGAGGAAATCCTGTCTTAAAACAGAACAACAAACAAACAAAATCTTGTCCTTTCTTTTAAGTACTGAGAGAGGCACACTAACATGTATGATGATTGTAGGTTTGTCTATTTTTCCTTTAGTTCTGTAGTTTCTGTTTTGTGTGTTTTTTATATCAAAACCTTTTAGTTTGTTTTTTATACCAACCATTAACTTATTCAGGTAATAAACATATTGTTTTTGGTTTTGGCTAATCTTTCATTTAGGTTTACTCTTTTTAGAATCAGCAGCATTGAGATATAATTAAAATATATAATAAATAGAATCAATTGCTATTTAATTTTAAATCTTTTTTCTTTTATGTACACAGGTACATAAAAATGCCTGAATGCCTGTATGTACACAATGGGTGGGCGACAGAAACTGGAATCACAGATGGTTGTGAGCTGCCATGCAAGTGCTAGGAATCAAACCTGGGTCTCTGGAAGAGCAGCCAGTGCTCTCGGCCTCTGGGACAGATCTCTAGGCCCTAGGCTGCTATTTTGTAAATACAGCTTTAACATATATGTACCAGTCAAGCGGTTTTGAGGCTCAAGGTAATAAACATATTCAGAACTCAGTGCCCTTGTTCTTTTCACAATCCCTTCTTCTTCCCAACCAGATAACCACTGATATGTTTCCCATCACTGCAGATTAATTTGTATTTCAGAATTTTGTATAAATGGAACCATGACCTATATGCCTCTTTGATCTGTTTTTTTTTTTTTTTTTTTTTTGCTGAACATAGTTATTGTATTGATCTACATTGAAAGTGATGGAGGATGTGAAACAGGAATTCAAATGCTAATAGATCCGATCTGGAGGGCTAGAAAATATATGTGTGTGTGTGTGTGTGTGTGTGTATACTCATATTCAATATTCAAATAAACTCTGTGGAAAGTCTCAAAAATAAAATGTATCAAGGAGAGGACAGACTTGTCCTTGGAAACAAGGTTGGGGAACTGTAACAATTCAACACTGACAAAAATAAAATGATAAGATGGTACCAGTAGGAATTTCAAGATATATACAATACCAAAAAGATAAAATTTATGGCTTATAGAAGCGTAGAGAAGAAAAATCTCACACCAAAGGGAGAGAAAACATTTCCAAAAGGACTGCAACAAAATTTCCTGGAGATAGGAAAACGGATACGGGAGGCAGTTAGTGCACCAAACAGATAGACCATGTCATAGTTGAAATATCAGTTATACAGAACAAAGACTGAAAGTGGCGAGAGAGAAATGCTACGTTACAGCAGGCAGGCCCATCGGAGTAAGCCGGGTTGTTGAACAGAACCTTTAAGGCTAGAAGGGCTTGGAATACTGTATGTCAGATTCTGACAGATAGCCACCGCCAGTTCTGAGTACCATACCCAGAAAAGCCGCATGTGGTAACGGAAGGAAAAATAAAGTCTTTTCATTTTAATAGACTAAAATTAGACTAAAATTTCAGGAGTGACTATTCCATGTGATAGGTGCTCAGGGGTTGAGGTGAAGCTTTAAAATGGTACTGAAAACTCAGAATCCTGGGAAGGATTCGTGTTAGAAAGAACATTTAGTGAGGCTCCTTCAGAACTCTATGTTGTGCCTTCTTCTCCCATGCGTGGAAGAAGCACAAGGGACATGCCCTTACATTTGATGTCTAGCAGAGAGTCTCTAGAGTGAGGAGTACTTCCGTCCATGGGGGTGGGGCACAGAGGACTGAGACAGCCCCTGGAAACTAGGAGGGGCTGGAGAGAGGCCTTCATGGTTAAGAGCATGCTCTTTCAGAGGATGCAAGTTTGATTCCCAGCACTCACAGGCAGCTAGCTCACAGCTGTCTGTAACTCCAGCCCAAGGGTATCTTATGGCCTCCTCCAGCATTGCATATGCACAAAATGCCTGCACACACGGAATAAATAAGTTAAAAGTATCCGGCAAGGGGAGAGCTTTACAGGAGGTGGCTGGTGTGGGATTTGAAAGGATTTGTGAGTGCTTCCTACAGATCAGAGGAGGCTGAGCAGGTGCGAGGTAACTCCTTAGCTGTTCTGGCTCCAGCCCAAATAGACTGCCTAGAGGGACGACAAGGTTCCTGCAGGCTTGGGAATGACAGCCAGAAGCTCTCAGTAGGGATCTAGCTAAGAGGAGCTCAGAGCAGCATTCCGAAGAACCCACATCAATTCCAGTCAGCATCCCCTATCCTTTGGCTGTGTAAGGTCCTTGCTTTCCTTCCCCCAGTCTCCTCTCCCACTCCCACCTTGGAGAGAACTAACAGCAGGGGATGGGTAGAGCTGAGAAGCAGCAGATCCCAAGTCTTTCCTGTCCATCCTTGGGTCTAGAAAATATTCAGTTACTAAATGAAGACTGGAATGTTAACTGGAGTGACTGCAAGCTTTCTGTTGTTTAGCACAGACAAAAAAGGCCACTCCAATCTGCTAAAGTGCCCATCGATGGCAGAGGAAACTGTTCCCTCCACAGATGAATGTTGAGAGGACAATCAAGAAACTGTACAGGATTATATCTTGCTGTTGGTGCAATTTAATAAAATGTGCAAGCCTGTAAGTTATCATGTTTGGCATAGATATAAGAACACTCATTATTTTAGCAGAATTATGACTATTTAATGACTATTATGACTGTTTAGTACTTATTTTTAAGTTTTTGTTTTTTGTATGTATTCTTGCAGAATCAGCAGGAAGGTGTGATTTCTATTTTTCAAGAATTTTTTCTTGTAAAAGATAGTATATTTTCAGAAAAGGTAAAATTATGTATGGGTTTTGTTTTTTTTTTTTTTTTTTTACCAAAATCCACAGTCGTCAAAGACTTTTGCAAGGGTTTTGTTTGTGGTTATGTTGTTTTTTATTTAGTTGTTTTGCGGGGAGCGGGCAGAGTGTACTTTGACTTGTGAACATTACATGTAACATATTTCTTGGTGTGGTTTACTATTTGCTGTTAGTACCTTATTGTAGAGGTTCCTCTGTGAAGAATGGATGGCAGTATTCTATTCGGCTGGGTTTTAGTAGTGTATTGTTTCTTTAGTTGTATCGTTTGTTTCATTTATTTATTTATTTTTTGAGACATTATCTCACTGTGTAGCCTTGATTGTCCTGTAACTACGTAGATCAGGCTAATTGCAAACTCAGAGATCCTCCTGCTTCAGCCTTCTGAGTGCTGGAATTAAAGATAATTACCACCATACCTAGCCCAGAAAGTCATTTCTTAAATAGAGATTATTAAGATTTTTTTAGAATGGAATTAATTATTACTGATGAGTGTTTTTTGTTTTTTTTTAAGACGGCATCTATGTAGCTCAGGCTGAACTTGAACTCACAGCGTTCCTCCTGCTCCAGTCATTCAAGTGTTAGAATTACAAGTGAGCTACCATGCCTAGCAGAAACCTTTTATTTTAAACCACAAATAATTAGAAGGTGGCCATGATTACCCATGTCTCACGAAAGCAGCATAAAACCTAGGTAAAAATCACAGCTTTTTGCTCCAGAAAAACTATGTAAAATTCAAATATGTACCATAAAAATATCACAGTATGCACAAGACTGAAACTTTAAAGCACATATATGGAATGCTGAATCAGCTTTATATGTGGCTTACAACATTAAGTCAATATTTATTTTATTTAAGGATGATGGAACTTTCCAAAAAAAATAACTCAGAGAGAGTGTATGTATGAATAATCCAATTAGTAGAGTCCTAAAATTTAACATTCATAAACTCCTTAGTAAAAATAGTTTTGAAAAGTTGTCCCCAGATTTCCCACAGCTCCCTTTCCCATGCTATCTGCAGACTGAGCTTTCTGTCTCTTTCTGCTTCTCTCTTGCTCTTCAGATGACACCAATGCCTTCTTTCCAGTTAGCTTTTCCTCCTCCAGCGCCTCTGCTAATGTTTGTTCTAGGTTCATCCTTAGCAGATGTTTTTCTTGGTTTAGGCTTCGGGTTGGAGGGAGCAGGTTCACTGACAGTCTGGCAGACTGTCCTGTGGTGTCCTGTTTAGTTTGGATCCCTGTCACTCTTTGTATTTTCCGGAGATGTTCCCCTCAGCACAGTACTGATGCTGGAGCAGCCAGTGCAGCAGGCTGGAGAGATGCCCCGTGACTGAGAGCACTCGCGCTCTTGCAGGGCCCGAGTTTGGTGTCAGCACACACATAGTGTTTGAAGATAGTCTTCTTTCTGATGAAGGAAGAGAATTAGAATCATGGCTAAAAACTTTTCAAGAATTCAGTTGAATACAGCTGAGTATAAATCACCACTGGCCAAGTACTTAAGCTGGTGTCCAGACTTCCTCTGGTTGTCCGTGTGCATCAGCCCCGTTCCTCAGTGCGGATTACCCCCTCTCTAAATGGAATAGCGTGAGTGCAGTTTGCGACGTAACGCTCTCCCTCTTTTCCAGCGTGGGTAGGCTCGCTGTCCATGGGCATGATCTTCTTCTGCTGTCCCATAGTCAGTGTCTTCACAGACATGTTTGGCTGCCGGAAAACAGCGGTCGTGGGTGCCGCCGTGGGATTCATCGGACTCATGTCCAGTTCTTTCGTAAGGTAAGGATGTAGCCGCTTCATGCTGCTCTTGAAGAACTGCTAAATATCTTCCAGGCCTTTGCAAAAAGAAAATCCTCTTAAACACCAATATTCTGGAGATCAGGATGTCACTCAGCGGCACACCCGAAGCAGAGCAGTGAAACATACTTGCTCTTGGTGGCCAATTTTAGATGTTAGGATGCATGTGTTCCCTGGAGCCCAGAAAAATGTTTTTCCTTTTGTTTGAATCTATTTACATAAAACTCCTAAAGGAATCAAGTTATATCTATTAGTTATCTAAAGCTATGGCTTTTTAGATCTCAAGGATTCAGTAAGTGATATTTTTAAGTAATAGGCTTGATAGGAAAATTGTTTTATTGATGAGAATAGGATCTAAATCAGTGCCAACCCAGGTAGAGGTTTCCAGTCTATGTTTTAAAAAATAGTAAAAAATAAAAAGAGCATATTAAAGTATTTAAACACCTTAACAAGATGAAGTGGCTAAATATACTTTATAACGTAATGTCATATACTGCATCTATTAGAAGAAAATATGCAGGCATCCTAAGGTCAAAGGACACATTACAGTGTGAAGCAGTTTCTGTCCTCAGTTCTGTGTGGTCCTGGAGGAACGCTTGTGTGCTCCTTAGTGCTGGTAGCAGTGGGCATTTAGCAAAGAGCAGCCCAGAGGCCACCCTCCAGCTAGTTGCTTGTCGTCATTTCCCACCTTTTTCGCTTCCCTGCCTGCCCTCATGTTTCCTTTCTGAAAGGCATGACTTAGTCGTGGGTGGAGTTAAGAAGGGATTTAGCTTGCAAAATTGACCCTGTTTAAGTTTCTTCATATTTAGTCAGCAGAATCCTTAGCTTTTCTCTTTTCACTTCCTATTACACACACACACACACACACACACACACACACACACACACACACACAAAATCTTCCTCAATATAAAGTAGGCACTTAAAATTTTATTCAAGTTGTTTAAAATTATATTTCTCAGTATAAAACAGATTTTTATTTTTAAAGAGCCTTTCTGATTGCTTCTAAACTTTTTATTTAAAAAGAAAAGAAGTTTGGAATTTTCCAGGTACGGGTTAGCTGATCCAGTGGCTCTGCCGCTTGCTGAGGGTGTCGAGAGCAAGCGAAAGCCCACAGAACCTGTTATACCTTTCAGTGGAACTCACACACACAGACACCAAGCATTTGTTTTTACAACCTTTTTGAGTAGTGAAGAAACAACTATATTGTAGCCCAGTTTGTCCCTCCTTTCCCCATCTCTGCAGCTCAGCGTCCAGGAGAAGCAATTCTTGAGGCCACATTGACCTTAATATGTGTAATATCCTCACATGACTCAGTTTGGTTAACTTGCTGGTCAAGAGCTGTCAGAACAGCATAGCATATCCTGGAGGAAGCTGCATAAGTCACCAGCGTGAGGTGGCAGGTCTGATTCTCTAGCGCCCTGGGTGACTCAGAGTCCCGTGCGCATGTCTAGACTCCTAACCTTCCTGCCTTACACTGCAGTTAGATGCCAGCCTCTGAACCCAGCTGTTTGTCACGAGGGCAGACATAAGGGACCGCAGTTCTGTGAGGACAGTGACCGTGGCCTGGAAAGATACGAAACCTCCCTCACCAAGGACAGGAGAGTTCAAGTTCTGCTCAGAAGGATGCTGCTAGCTTCTGCTCATGGCTGTCTGCTTCACTGTGGAGGAGCTGGGGCACTTGATGTTTGTGATAATGATGTTATAAATACTATTTTTAATAAATATTTTGAGGGAGACAGAGAAAAGGATATAAATTTTATTTTTTTTTCTTTAAAATTTTGAGAATTTAAGAACTTGGAATTATATGGAAAACTGCTTATGTGGAAAATTTGGTACAGACTGAAGCATCGTGAACTCAGGGTTAATTTGTCCCATATAGTGAGAGACCTAAAAACCAAAACAGACAGCATCCCCCTTCCAACTAAAAAGAATGAAGCATGGACTGGAGAGAGGGCTTTTGCAAAGGACCTGGGTTCAATTTCCAGCACCCACATGGTGGCTCACAGTTGTCTATAGCTCCAGTCCCAAAGGATCCAAGGCACTCTTCTGGCCTCCATGAGCACCAGGCACACACATGGTGCACAGATGTACATGCAGGCAAAGCACCCATGCACATAAAACAAAATAATAAGAAATGTTTTTGAAATGAGGCATTGTTTGTTCTGTGTAATTCTTACTAGGGACAGGGATGGAAGTATTGCTTTATGCAGACTGTGAGTAACTTGAACAAAACAAACATTTTTCAATACTTTTCTACCAAGTTTCTGTTGAATGTGTCTATTGAATCAAGAGCGGAGATTTGAGCAGGTTGTGGTGGTGCATACTTTAAATCCCAGACCTCAGGAGGCAGAGGCAAGTGGATCTCTGTGTTCAAGGCCAATCTGATCTACAGAGAGAGTTCCAAAACACCCTGTCTTGAAAAAGCAGTGCCAGCATGATTTAATTTGATCAGATTCGAGTTCCTTGTGATTCCCTCAGTATGCTGATAGGAGGGCATTATTGTCCAAAATTTAATTATTAACCAGCTTTATCTACTGATAAATAGCCTTTTGAATTGGACTTTGAAAAAAAAAGTAAGAAAGAAAGAAAAATAAGACAACTTTTAACTTGTTTCTTTTCAGTCCTTACCACAACTGTCTCCAAGCACATAATCCTTCACCTTCCTAAGAGATGTAAAGCTATTTGATTAAATTAAAACTCCTGTATTCTTTTTATTCTTTCGAGGTGTAAGTAATAAGTTACTTAAAAAGCTTGCAGACCAGAATCAGTGCTGAGCACACTTAATTCAGTCTTAATGCAATCTGAATATGATTTCTTCTTATCTTGCACAATGCTGGGAACCACGCAATCCAGGGCAAAGGTTGGCTGATGGCTCTAGGACAGCGGGGGTGGGGGTCTGGGGTAGGGGGAGCCCAACTGTGATCTCATGCAAATACTCTTGATATGGCATTGATGAGACAGCACCAGACAGTTTTTTCTTCGGCTGTATTGCTTAGTAAGCACCTGGGAAAAGGCCATAAAAATGTGTGTACATAGTTAAATTGTATTTGAAAGTACCATTGAACAAGATTTTATTGTCCCCTCTGAGCAGCTGTCTCTGTTTCTGAGCTGTGGAGAACGTAGTTCTTACTCAGCGCTATGTATGGTTCACCAGAAATCCTTGGCAGGCAAAGGCGAGCAGAGTCACTGATGACCTTAATGGTCATTTTTCACACACCTAGATTACGTTAAAATAACTTATTGCTATATTCCTGGTTTATTAAGCCTTTCCTATTTTTGTTTTTTATTTTAGAAAACGTGTTGGCAAGATCTGTTTTTACTAAGGGAGTTCCTTTTAAGGATTAATTTTATTTCATTTGTATGAATGTTTAAATACATATACTGTGTGCATACCCAGTGCCCACAGAGGCCAGAAGAAGCCATCAGATCCCCTGGGATTGGAGTCACAGTGTTTGTGAGCTGCCATGTGGGTGCTGGGAGCCGAGTCAGGCAAGAACAGCAGATGCTCTTGACTGCTGAGCTGTCAATAACCCTATATGAGGTGTTATTCTACTAAGCACCATGCAGAAGATTAAAGCCGCTTTCTGTTTGTCTCCTCTTTGTGCAGCTCCATCGAGCCTCTGTACCTTACCTATGGAATCATATTTGCCTGCGGCTGCTCCTTTGCGTACCAGCCTTCATTGGTTATCTTGGGACACTACTTCAAGAAGCGCCTTGGACTAGTTAACGGCATCGTCACAGCCGGCAGCAGTGTCTTCACAATTTTGCTCCCTTTGCTTTTAGGGAACCTGACCAACAGTGTGGGCCTCTTTTACACACTGAGAATCCTCTGCATCTTCATGTTTGTGCTCTTCCTGGCTGGCTTTACTTACCGACCTCTTGTTCCCAGCACCAAAGAGAAACAGAGTGAGGGCAGCAGGCTCTCCTTCTTTTCCCGGAGAAAGTTTAGTCCTCCAAAGAAATTTTTCAATTTCGCCATCTTCAAGGTGACGGCTTATGCAGTGTGGGCTGCCGGAATTCCACTTGCGCTCTTCGGATACTTTGTGCCTTACGTCCACTTGGTGAGTATGCGTCTTCGCCTCTGTTTGTAGGTAAATGCCTATGGTCACACGGGGGATCGAGAGGAGCGAGACAGGTCAGGCTGAAGTCCGCCTTAGGCGTTGTCCTGGTTGGGACCCCAGACTCTGGGAATTAAGGTCTTTCAAACAGGGACAGTTTCCCCATCAGACTGCTAAACAGAAACTCTGATGGCGTGCTTCAGAATTTCAAAAGCAATTTTGAAAGGACAACTAATATCTTGGAAGGTGTCATATCAAGGTAAGGTATTTGATATGGGTAAGATGGCTCGGTGGGGAAAGGCACTTGCTGTCACGCCTGGCAGCCTGAGTCTGAGGCCTGGAACCCACTCCTGAAGGTTGTCCTCTGACCTCCAGTGCGGCCAGTGTGAACCCTCACCAAGAGAAGTGTTCAAGAAAGATCTAGAAGTAGTGTGCTGATCTTATTCAGGGATAAAGCTAGTGCAATGACCTTGCTAATATTAATAACTTTCAATAGATGGATGCAGATATTAAATGCTTAACAAAATGCCAGTGCCTGACACAAAGAAACATTCTATCTGTGGGATACATCTGGAAAAACAGGAATTCTCTTTAGCGAAGAATTTGAGAAGCGATAGGGAAGTTTTAAATGAGAGAAGAGCCTTAAAGTTTTATGGGAAATTAGGATTTCAAGTGCTCAAGCAGTTTATGTTGCTTCCTTTAATGTCACAATTCAGCCTATTTATACGGAAATGAGAATAAGCAGCTTCGAGGGATTCACACTTAGGAAAATGTCCTCAAAGGAGCTCTCTGTCTCTTGCTCCTCTTTTTCTCCTTTACTGCTTGTGGTATAAAATGAATGCGGATCAATAAAAACAAAATGACATTTGCTTTGGTTTTCTTTTGTGTATGTACTGACTACATGTGACGACTTGGATTTTTTTTTTTAAAGCTTCACGTCTATGTAGGAATATCTACAATTTTTCCTTAGTTAAAAGTTTTGGTAAAAGTAACAGTGGCTCATGAAATTACTGGGTCTAGAGGGTCAACTAATAACACAGGAGTCTTTTATATGTTCTGGTGCACATTCAGAAAGTAATCGAACCAAGGAATGGTGATGAGAGCTGGGGAGCATGTCTGGATACAAGGATAATTTTGATTTCTGAGTTCTCCATACTGTGCTCTTGCCAGCAGCTGGGCTGGAGGTGAGAAGGGATGGGGAAGGACCTGAGCCATGTGGCATTCATAGTAGATAAAACCTGATCTGATCGTCCTTTTCGTTCTTACAGTTGTCTCTAAAATCACTGAATTAGTTTTTGTTGGACTATGGGTCTGTTGAAAAAGAATCAGTTTTACCAACCTACTCCTTCTCAGTCAAGAACACAATTACTGTGTATCCCCCCTCCTCTCTGTTTTGAGACATGTAGCTCAGGCTAGCCTTTGTGAATCTTCCTTCTTTGCCCCTCAAGTTATAGGGGTGTGTCACTAAGCCCAGCTTTTCTTATTTTCTTTTCTAATTCTCTTTGGTACCAAAAGATGAAAATACGCAGAGAAACAGACAGCTCAGCTTCTCTAGTGCTATTTCTGGTAATAAGGTTAGCAATGTATCAGTTAACTAATTTTGCATATTACTTCACCTGGCTCTCACCATAAAGCTGTGAAGTAAAATAAACCATAGTATCTCCTGGTTCACAGATTCACAGGAGAAAGACAGTTTCTGCTCGGAGAAGTAGAGAAAGTGTTGATGCTGGGCCCTGGGTGTGAAGTGTTTTGTTAATACTGGGGTTTTGGTCAACTTGGGTGCTGAACTTTTCAGTTTGGTTTTCTTTAAACTTCAGAAGCATAATGCATGTTCTCATGGCTCTGTCTATGATTTGAAAAAGGATGTATATGTTTATTATCAGAGCAACTTTGGAAATTTAATTTTTTTTTTGTATTTGATGTGTGTATAGGGGATTTCATGTAGCTTAGGGTGGCCTCAAACTTTAAATGTAGCTCAGGTTGACCTTAAACTTCTGGTCCCATTGCTTCCACCTCTCAAGTACAGGGATACAGGTCTGTGCCACCATGATTGCTTGCAGGTGACTTTTTGAAAAGGGAAGAATCAGTAACCTCTCTTTTAAGCCTATCCACATACAGTCTCAGTATATGGACACAAGTCTCATGGATCAGATTAGGGGTATGTTAAAGTCTAAGGAACCAGTTTTCATGTCCAGCCCTCTTTTGTTGAGAGCTGTTTTCTTGGTTAGCTTCTCATCCTTCTAATATTCCCCACCACTTCCTATCTTGTCATTTCAAAGTTGCTTTGCTGTGCTCCTCCCTGCCCTACCCTATGTCCCAAGCCTTATTTTTTTGGTCCTTTTTATCTGTGTCCACTGGAAGTTTCTTCTAGTCTCCTGAGTTCAAACAATACACACGATTCTGGTATCTCTAGCCCAGACCCTTCACTGAATTCCAGAGCTGTATGTTCAACACTCACTTAAATATCTCCATTTGCATGACTCCTGGCTCTTTCAGACATAATATGAATAACCACAAAGTCTTGATCACGCTCCCCAAAACTTGCTTTGTCCCTCATTGCCCTCCTCTCCGGAGACTGCAACTTTATCCTTCCAGAGAGTCAGGCCTCAGACCCTGATTGTTTAGCTCCTTCTTCTTGCACATCACACCCCTGATAGAGTCAGGGAACCCTGGTAACTTGCCTTTCAAAGTGTATCTGGAATCTGGCCACTCTTCACTGTCACCTTTGTGTAGAGGTCAAAGGACAACTTGGAAGAATTAGTCCTTTATCTGTGACTTCCTGAGAGTGCACTGAAGCTGCCATCCGCGCTGTAAGCACCTTCACTACTGAGCCATCCTGTGACCCTGAAATTCCACTTACTTCATCAGTGATTTCGCCCATTTGATGCACAGATGGTTATTACACTTTTATTATTTTAAACTGTCTGTTACATAGGTCCTAAAAATGTTTTAATTTCTCTGTCATGGTTGCCAAGTTAATTAAGTTTACATAAGGCAATAAGCTGCCACTAATTCTACTTTTTATAGGTACTGGATTATATTTGTGTGTTGACATTAGCGTGGCTGTGCTTTTCATAACAGAATGCTAATAGTGGTTTGAGATTGGATCTTGGATGTTTATTATAGGAGAATTAACAAGTGTTTTCAATGCCCATGAGGGCAGTAGTTGCAGGATTAACATTCTGGTCCACTGTATACTACAGTCAAAGTCTCTGTTGTTAATATGTTGTACTTCCTGCTTTCTATGGTTAACTAGAGGGCATCTATAAGAAGTTAATTCTGATGCAGTGTTTTAAATGAGGGATTTTTGATAGAAAATTCCTTTTAGCATTTTACCTCCAAGGGATAATAGTTTTAGTATGCCTACAATTTACTCACTTAATTTTCCTTTTTTGATTAAAAATATATGTCATATGTAATCCTGAAAGGAATAAAAAAAATCTAATGACCTTAAAGTGACTTTCAAGGTTCTCCATGATCTAGCTTTGCCTGCCACTGGGGTCTCTCCTGACCTGCCTGCCAGGCTCACTGAGTTCCTGCATCTACCACCTTCCCACTTACCTGTGTATAGGGTGGTAAAACAGCCTTAGTGCTTAGCCTTAGTGCTATTTTAACCTGGCCACAGGTGAAGATTTCTCCCTTACCCAGCATCCTCAAACTTCTTCACACTCTTTTCTATATTAAAATAGCAGTTAATAGTTTTTAAACTATTTTAATTTATTTTTATAATTAGACATCTTTATAGTTTGCTAGATTCTATGAAGTTAGGGTCTTTCTCTGTTTTATTTGATGATAGATCTCAAAGCAAATAGCATGGTGTCTAGCACACAGTAGGTGCTCAAATATTGGTTGGATGTTGAGTTATGTATAAGTCTAAGGGGATACACGTAGTATTAAAAGCCATACCATTTGGGTCTTTAAACTCCTCTACATCCATGTCATAATGATATTCATTCAGTACTTATCAAATGAGCTCAAACTCCAAAAACCTAAGAATACTGAAGTAACTACCAGTACTGTCAGTTCATGGGAGAGGAGAGGTGACGCCTGTGCTCTAACCCTCACTTTTATGTCTGTGCTGGAACTACAAGATAACTCGAGACACTTCTGTCTCTAAAGGAGCCATGCCATCAGGCCCGCCGAGACTCTCACAGAGCCAGAGGTGGTGTCTGTAAGAGTGGATCTTGGGTGTGGACTGGGCGTGTCAGTCTGATGACAGTGGTTTTGTAGCCCTTCTTACTGGTCTAGTCCATCCTGAGTATGAAGACGATAATTCAATTTCCTCACTTTGAAACCCAGCAATTCAGGACCAGTTTTCTTCCAGTCTAAAACACTGGTCATTCGGCTGAGTTGTTTTTAGGTTAAAGTTAAAGTTACAAAAATTTTATTAAGATGATTGACTTACAGGTAGAAAATCTGTAATATATCATTATTAGCTACATTACAAAATGTTTTGAGACAAGATCTTACCGTGTAACACAGGCTGGTTTAAGATAGTTTGTTTGAGGCAGGTCTTTCTACAAAGCACTGGCTGTCCTGGAACTCACTTTGTAGACCAGGCTGACCTCCAACTTGCCTGTCTCTGCCTCCCGAGTGCTGGAATTATTTAGGTGACACCATGTCTGACTTGGTTTCAAATTCTTAATCTTTTTAGTTTATCCTTCCAAATATGGGGGTTACAGGCATGAATCATGGGCAACTAGCATTAGTCTTTTTTTTTTCTTTTTTGAAGAAAAGTGTGTTAAATATGTTGATATATAAATGGATTGGTTTTGTGGCAGATAGTTCCATTAGGAACTTTGACCTGGAAGAGATGTCCCATTTATGTGCTGTAAGATTAATGGTAGATTATTTGCCTGCTTACAAGGCAATTAAGTGGATTCCTAAGTCCACTCGTAATTGGGAATAAACAAGTTGTACTTTCAAACTAGAATCAACTTTCAAGACAAACAAGCCCATAAATGGGACATGAAGTTCTTTAAAAGCTACTTTTTGATTCATAT